TACTGATAAGAGTCTGTGGAGCCAAAATAAAAGTAAGAGAAAACCGGACAGGAAGTTCTCAGCTGACATGAGAGAAACTTTGGAAAATTAAATGTTCTCTGTTCAATTAATCTCAATTTCATTCAAATAGAAATTGGACATAAACATACGAGCACAGATCCGTCCCAGCTTGCATCGATAGTTTAGCGCAGGCTGGTGGTGGTAGTACATGGGTGACCCTAACCATGGAAAAATTTTCAATCAGCAAAGATAAGAATTCAAATATCTAAGTGCTATGAAAAAACAGTCTATCTTACCAGGAACTTTCATTCTAAAACCTAAACCTGATACCAATCCTAAGCCTAAACTGAACTCAATTCATATCTTCATCCTAAGCCTATCACCTAACCCCAAAACAGCACTTCTTTTGAGGTCTAGGGTTTGGGCCCTATAAGGAGCAGTGCGTCCTCACATCATAGTATTTGTTAGAAAAATGGGCCTCATAATATATCACATACACACAACAATTATTAGACAGTGGAAATCAATCAGTGCATCTCAATCATTTAAAACCCTGCAGGCCTTTGAGAAACTTCTGGTGTGGATGAGGCTCTCACACCTGCACAATAAAATGTCTGCTGTGCACAGAAAAAGCTCATAAAAACTGTAATTAATTGAATTTGTATACCAGTAACAAAAAATGTTTATAGCACTGATGGAAACAAAGGAAGTTAACACAAGCCAAGTCGCTATCTGCCTTTTGAACTCTCTGCCCACTCAATAAATCTGTACATCAAGAAATTAAGTGCTCCCAAATCTGCATTTTGTATTGATTATCACAATTATGCACTATTACCATCCTATTATCTGCACTGACTGCCTTTAATTACACTGGAGAACAAGAGGAAGAGTGAAGATGGAGGGGGAGGGAGACGCTGAAAGTGAGAACGAGACACTACACGGAGAGACGGATGAAGTGAGACGCCGCACCCAACTAATTAAAACAGAAAGTTTTTGTTTCAACGCTCTGACAGGGAATGAAAGTGGAGGGGAATTAATCTGCCTACAGGGAGCACAAGCTTTACACACACACACACACACTCAATGGGCCGTGGACTTGTAGCGAAAAGGACTGCAGAGTGCTGTTGCCATAGTTACCAACTGTGGCAGCACATCATGCGACAGAGTTAATGCAGAGGTGTGTGTTTCATTTAAGCTTTCATTGTATCAGCAACCTGACCTCACCCAACATCGTCAGCGTGAGCACGCAGAGCGAAAGGTCACGCAGATTAAAACTAAGTGTTTTTGTCGGAACAGATGAAATCTTTGCCAGCTCTTGAAAAACAGGTGGAAAACTATCCAAACAGAAAAAAGATGAGACACCGTAAGAAGCTAAACCAGGGCTGCCAGGTCCACTCAAAGTACTAGCCTGCCACTTGTAGATGCATTCTTTCAACTCGCCCAAGAAAAGTTGTACTTAAGAGTACCACTAAATCAAAAGGAAAAGACAGACACCTGAGAAATTAAGAGTAACATATTTAGTAAAACACTACTTTAGTATGGAGTATTTGACAATAATACCATATTTAACCAGCAGACAGAAAGATAAAATTATGTGCAAATTCTGGTATATTAAAGGTTGAAATACAAATACAAAAAAAAAAGATCCAAATAAATAACATAATTACAAGATGAATTCAACACTTCCAATTTTTTTTTTTTTTTTTTCAAATGAGCCTTAAGAAACCCATACTTACTGTAGTGCAGGTAATGTATATACAGTGGGCCTATGTATTCACAACTTCCTGCTAAAAAATAAAATCCATGGATACTTGAGACGCCATCTGAAAACACTTAGAATTGACTGTTTTAATAGCTCAGCCACCACATGTATCTTGAAGTGGAACGGGGAGGGGTTGTGTCACGTAAAACCGACTTATGAGTTTTACATCAGGTTATAATGAAAAACATACCTGGAGTCTTGCTTTGATTCTTTCATGCACATTTGAGGAATCCTTGAATCTCAGCATTTAGCAAACACCTGGTGTCTGCTGAGGTTAAAACTACTTCTCAGTGCAACGCTCCTAAAACCAATTGAAATGGCATAATGAGAAGCATTGTCATGACGATATGCTGAAGGCAAAGTGTCGGAAAAGAGTGGGAGTTTCTTAAAGAGACAGGTCAATTTTCAGGCATGTTTGGTATATACAGAATTTTTATGACAATTATAGGCAACAGTTACTTGAGCGTGCTTTAAGAATATATATAAGGAATATAAAATATCCCTTTAACATGCAATAAAACACACAGTGGAGAACATCTTGACAATCTCACAGAAACTAACATTTTAAGTCCAGTTTTACTTACATAAGTGTAATTGTTGGGCTAAGCCTGCCACAACTCCAAAGAATTAGCACCACTGGTAAAAGTGAAAAGCAAGCAAAATGTATGAGCATGCAAGTCAGATCTAAGCCAAACAAATGCCAGTTTCTCTATTCAGTTTAAAAATAAATATGAAAATATGAAATTTTTAAAAAATCCCTAAAGTATACAACCTGACCAAATTTTTAAAAAATTACTGAACAAAGGGAAACATATTCTTTAAAAATTGTCTAAGTAGAAGGAATAACTATCTATAAGATTAAAGATTGTCTCTCATCTTCTTCTTGCATCCAATTATTTTTATGAGTCCTCAAAAACAAATCCCTGTTAAATCAAACAGAGTTTCTGTTTTGAGATATTGTGGCAGTAAGTCAGCCATAATACTGTTTCTAGAGGTTCTGCTGTCTGAATAAGAAAACAGCCATCAGGGAGTTTTGTTAAAATGGGTGGAGAAGGGACAAATTATGCTAAACACTGAAAAACAGCAGAATGTATTCCAAGTACTGACAACTCTGACTATTGGCTCAATTATTATTTTTTTTGAAAAGCGTGAAAAACATTACTCCAAATGCTTATCTTAAATGCACAGTTAACGACGAAAAGCGACATGTGTTTTGGAGTGTGCCTTTCCTGATAAGAAATAAAGCTCTAAGTTTTGCAGAGATATTTCTATCACACACTGATTCACTCTGAAGATAACTTTGCATGACCCGAGCGCAGCCCCTGAGCTAAAATTGAAATCTGCTGTGTTAGTCAAACTGATGTACTGCTCCTTCCAATTACTTCCTACCATCCAATTCTGCTTCTCGTTACAACTCCTTCTGGAATGGAAATATAGATTAATTCCCCTTTCCTTTCATTTCTCGAGTATCGTAAAACATATTCATAAGACGGAGATCTTCAGCTTTGTGTAAATTGATACCGTGCTGCTGCATATCTGTGCCAGAGAGGCTCAAACCTCCCTCACACGTAACCCAGCAGCAGGTCTGTTTCTCGCAGAAAATGGGATCTGGTGAAATGTGTTAGTTTTGATGACTTATGCCAAAAGGGAGGGCTTACGATGCATTTATTTTTCTGTCGAGACGAATGGAGCTGCATGGACAAGGTGATGTTCTGCATAGAAATGTACCGCACAAAACCAGGAGGTGTAGATAACACAGTCTCTCACTGTAACTCGCGCTATGCAAGCAATCAAGACTCAGAACGAAAAGCAGGAGCTCTTCACCTGCTCATCCACCTCTTTTTTTTTTTATTCTCACCTTTGAACAGACTCGCATGCATACCTATCTAATGCAATGCTAATTCACAGGAAGACAACATGTTAGCCCATGATAAGCTGCAGAGGCACAGACTGCAGTGTAAGTAGGTTAGACCCCAGGAGCCCTGAAGACACAGTCTGGCTTTCGAACTTTTAAAGAATTATGACAGTGTTGCAACATTTGCTGCCTCAGAGGAAGAAAGACAGTGATGAATGGCCAGGTGTGCCTAGTTTGTGTATGTGTGTGTGTAAACTAAGCTGCACACATCGAGAGCGCAGGAAACAAAGGACCCACAGAGTGAGTGTGTGTGAGTAAATCCACATGCACTTACAGACAGGCTGGCTGGGGGACCGCTTTAATAAGCAATGCATACATCTGTGGCAGATGACAGTTTCTGTTAGCTAAGAATCACTAATTAACGGTGTATGTAAGCATCCGTGGCGAGTGTGCACCATGCGAACTGTCAGAAACACACCAGCGTGTTTGTGACGGTGCACCGTTTAATAGCCACCAACCACGGCCCTATGAATGCGAGTCCAGATGAATAAATAATCCCCCTCCCCCCCCAAACAAGATAAAGATTAATGATGTATTTATCATCCAATGACAAGAGCTTTATGCGGCACATTCAAGATCAGTATCTTGACTGCAGCTGTTAAAGCCCAGCTGATGAGATCGTCGAGCTGTAGAGAATACAATAGCCCTTCACTGTCAGAAAAATAATTGCCACGCTACTGAAACCTGACGTGTGCCACATACTGTTCTACGATCTGTAGTCAAGAATCTCTACATTATACAGAGAGTTATGGACAAAAGCGCTTCAGGATACATGCATACACTGCAGGTGGTAAAAGAGCCATTTTATTCACTGTTGTACACCAGTTAGGATCATGAAAGTTCAAAGTGTCAGCAAAATAAAATATTTATTTTCAGTTTCAATACTTTCTCTGACTTGTGTCAAACATTTTGGGTATCTTTCCATGATCTTCTCACAATAGCTTGCTGGAAATATGGCTCATTCCTACTGATAGAACTGGTGTAACTTGAGTCAGGATGTAGCCAGTGATGGGCTCGTTTGCACACAGTTGGTGCGGTCTTCATTTTTTATCTGAATGAAGTTAGGGTTTTACGTCAGCTATCCTACAATATGGGCTTTGTGGTCCTTCAGCCACATTACCACTTTCTGGCAGCATGCTTGTATATTTGGGAGACCCATTTTGAGTCAAGTATTAACATGTTATGAGCCCATGGAAGCAGAATAAACTGGATGCCAAATTAAACATTATAGTTACCTGCTTTGTGTGAGAAAATAGACAACGAACAGCTATGGGGAGGACGGTTTTTAGCAAGTAAGAAAAGACAACCGTGTGACTAGCTCACCTGGTAGCAGCGTATCCGGTTCTCCACGCAGCTCCACCCTCTGCGCAACCTCAGTGTAAGGCTTCCAGTTGAGTTTTTACTAAAGGTGTGCGTTTTCCTTACAGTAATAATTTTGTAGTTCAAGTAGAAAACCACGCATCTTCCCTGTTGCTTCATTTCTCCCAGCCGGCTCGCGCCACACACAGGTGAAGCTCATCAGCCAAATCAAGTCAGTGTGAATTTGCTGCATCCGGGACATTAGAGCAACTACAACTTAGGTTGATTTCTCGACCAAGATGTAGGTGGACTTCCAGTAACTCTTGCCACCTGAGGCATTGTTTTAACATTTTAAAATTAAACATCCATGATGTATTGAACCACTGTGCGCGTGATAATAAAATAGACATTTTTTTTCTGTGGTATTTTTTTTTTTTTTTTTTTTTTTGAAAAAAACCCCCCTTTTTAAGGGGGGAAAAACCCCGGGGAAACAAAAGGAATTT